ATATATAATGAGATATCTTGGGGATGGAACCCAAGCCTGAACACGAAATTCATTTATGTTTCATATACATGTCATATACCTAACCTGAAGATAATTTTATACAATGTTTTAAATAATTTTGTGCCTGAAACCAAGTTTTGGCTGTGACTCATCACATGACATCACATGTGGAATTTTCCACTTGTACCATCATGTCAGCGCTCAAGAAGTTTCAGATTTTCAGATTAGGGAGGCTCAACCTGTATTCCTGCCTCCCCTGCTCCTGCCCTGCTCAGTGCCTTCCATCATGCACCTGCCCTTCACTCACCCTCTTCTAGGACTTAGTTGAGAGGCAGCACACCTTTAGGTACCGAGGATTCTAGGAAGAAGCAGTCATGGTTTGTAAAAGAGGATGTTTTCTCTTTTCTTTCTTGTGTTGCTGTCTAAAACTTTTTTTTGCCTTTTTTGGCTACATGAACACATTGAATCTTGCCTCACATTTCCGTTTTGGACTATAAACTCATGCCTTAGAACTCATTCCTCTCTAGTTAAGATTATGTTTATAAATTCTAAAAATTTCTTTTTTAAAGTTTTTGAGACGGAGTCTTGCACTGTAGCCCAGGCTGGAGTGCAATGGTGCCATCTCGGCTCACTGCAACCTCTGCCTCCCGAGTTCAAGCAATTCTCCTGCCTCAGCCTCCCGAGTAGCTGGGATTGCAGGCGTGTGCCACCACACCTGGCTAATTTTTTGTATTTTTAGTAGAGACGGGGTTCCACTATGTTGGCCAGACTGATATCGAACTTGTGACCTTGTGATCCACCTGCCTCGGCCTCCCAAATTGCTGGGATTACAGGGGTGAGCCACCGTGCCCAGCCTAAAAATCTCCTTTAATAATCCCAGTGAACCACTATGTCTTTTGTGCAATAAAGAAAGAGGGTTAACTATGTACTTATTTGAGGATTTATTCTACTTTACTTTGTTAGTTAAGTGCTAGTGGTCTTTTTCTACATAGCTATAGATTTTTGAGCAAGCATAGCTTCATAATTTTATAGGTATATATAGGAGTTAATTCCAATATACATGCCATATTCTACAAATATTAAATACTTGTTTAATTATTGACCAGCTGGAGTTTTTCAATAGGGGAAAAATGACTAGAAATCTTAAATGTAACCAATGATAAAATTCCTTTCTAGAAGGTAATTTGTTTAGTCTCTTTTAAAGGTATAGCAAAAAGTAGTGATTTAAAGTTTGCCGATTAATGCTTTGCATATTTGTAATGACATTGCTAGTTTTTCCAGACTTTAGTACTTTTGAGACATATATCCACCGTGATGCTTTTTAAGGTAGAAATTACATTTATATGCTGCTTTATATGTTATTTCTCATGACATGTAAAATTTGGATTAGTAGTGATTTACATGTGCACTACTAATTATATCTAATCTTATAAATATTGGAATGTAACATAAGCAAACTAGTCCTTTCATAATGTAATTATTAAGATTTTGTCCTAATTTTTCTTATTTTGCTGTTGGTTATGAAGAGTTAAATGGAAGGAAGACAGAAATTAACCTCATTCTCAGAGAGAGGGTTTTCAGGCGTGGGCTGATGTGGACATGAATGTGGGTGGATGCGCGTGTGCGGAGGGAGTCAGAGCACATGAAAGAAGCCAGGCACCCCCAAACTATAGGGACTCCACAGAAGGGGCAGGTTCGTCCTGACCCGAGAGTGCATAGGAGTTTGTTCTGTCGTGCTAGGAGTTTCTTTCCCTAAGAAGAGTAGGCAAAGGAAAGAACTTTCATTTTACAAGTACAATTTTTTTCCTGCTCTGGCAGGGAAGAGCCCAGTCCCATACCTTCTGCTGGGTCACTTTTTATAGGATTGTTTGCACCCAGGCCACGTTTTAGGACCTCATGGTTAACATGAATCCCCATGTCCCTGCGCCCTTTCCGCCCCTAAGGCCTTTGAATATGAAGGATCTAGAAACCAAATCATCCCAACCTGAAATGTTGGATGTAATGTCTTTTCTTAAACCTGTTACTTGGTACCAAAGAATGAAAATATAAGACTCCCACCGCAGAACTGTGGGGTGGAATCTGTGTCACTTTGCAGGATTGGTTGGTTGTAAGCTGGACTTGGGCACAAAACTTGTGCTCCTGGGCATTGTCTGTCTTTCAAGTGCAAAGCAGGTGTAGCTGGTACCTGCTTCCCAGAACCCAGTGGGTTCCTGCGTTCCCCCAAATACTGAAATAAGAACCCAATTCTGGAGGAGCCTTCCTCAGGGAAAGAGTGACTCTCAAACAAACGTCAGTGAGAGTCACAAGGGAGACATCTTGTTTAAAAATAAAGACTTACGGATCAACTTCTTTTCCTCTGTTTAAGAGAAATTTCTATTGCAAAATATAGTTCGAAATGAGCAGAACAGATTAACAAATGGAGCAATTTGCTTTTGTTATCCCAATAGAAAAAGGAGATGATAGGGACAATATGACAAGTCAATCAAATTGCTTTTCCCAAACACCTCATTTGGACGTTTAATCTACCACTACAAGCTACGTTGTCTCTTCCCATTGCTTTAATTCTAGGGTTGCTGAGTGACCAAAATGGGAAGAAAAAAACATTTCATCTCACAGAGGAGAACTGCCTGCAATAAAAGATTGAAAAGTTGGAAAGCAGCTTCAAACTGCTGGCTCCCAGCTGCTGTTATAGGGGCAGAAGGCATTCAGAAACCTTGTTTGGTAGAAGCTCCTTTTACTATGGAATTTAATAGTGAATCCTTCCCCAGTGCCTATTCAGCTGCCTTTTGGCTGCCAAGCTCTAAGTTCTTTGGTAAAGAGTTAATGTAGTTGAACATTTTTACTGTTTTTTATTTTGGAGTAACTTGGTGCTGATCTTTCTTCCTTTTCCCTAGCCACCCAACAAGCCACCCTTTAAATACCAAAGACAACTGGTTTTAAATGCTTGAAAAAAAAATTTTATTGAGAAAATGGATCTTGATTAAAATCTTTTCACAGTCAAAAAAAAAAAAAAAAAAGAAATTGTCCTAACAAGTAACGCTAAACCTGTTTTATAGAACTCTAAAAGATTTTGAGATGATACGAGGGATGAAAATGAAACTGAATCCTCAAAATTCGGTAAGTATATTAGAATATTTTTATTACAATATAGACAGTCTATCAGCTGAAATCAGTATCTTTTGATTCAGGAACTTTCTTGTGATCGGCTAGAGGTCCATTTACTCTTGTTTCTGATCCTCAGTTTTGGTGAATAAAGATGTTGAAATATTTGATTCTTATGTCCCAAACTGATGTTGCCTGTATATACACACATATACATACAGCATTTTTGTTGTTGAGTTGACACATTTTATGTATATACACTAACACAGTGTGTATGTATGTACACACACACACACACACACACACACACATTTATGCAAAGACTGCTTTCATTCTGTGGAATGTTGGCTTCTCAGTTTAAAGCAGCCTTTAAGGAGGCTCAGTGGAGGCTTATCTGGCAGGTGGCAATTTTAACCATCGGTGTTAAGGTTGCAGTTCATTTGCTTATTTGTTTGCTAATTTATGGTGCTCAGTTGAGTGGTCAGTATTTGACTAACAAAGTATATACCACATTCTAAAAACACTTAAGTGTTGTTTTCAATCATAGGATTATAGATCTTCCTTACATGATCCAACAGCATAGGCTAGCGTTGTTATGGCCAGAATGCTGCGCAAGTGATTAGCGGGTACCTTGAAAAGTGTTGAGATTCCAGATATTAGGAATCATTCCCATTTGGTTCTAGGGCAGTACAGGATTGTTGGGGTTGTCTACACCATTCTTTTCCACATACTGTTGTAAATTCTTGACTTATTTGCTGCTGCCAGAGCCATAGTCATAGGGAAGATTTAGAAAAATAGACCTTGCAGATTTACGGACTGTTTACTAGCTTCCCAGATACGGCCACTAGGAAGCAGATGAATCCCATTAAACTTGGCGATGTGTAAAGTGGTGTGCCAGTCTGTTAATTTATGGAAGGAGCTGTGTCCAGCAGAGTGACTAGTGTTAGTCATCTGCACACCTTGGCCTGGTAGGTAGGCTCATTTAGGAAACTAGGTAAAAGATAAGAATTTAGCCTGGTGACGATAGAAACAGAAAAATGAAAAATAAAATGTGTTGCCAAAAGCTAATTCAGTAAAAGTGAATATGACTTTAGACTGTTATCTGTAGACATTTTTATATAGCTTATGGATACGATTATTCTGCAGATATTTGTGAAGTGGCCAGATCCTTGTGTTGGCGAACGGTGCCACTATTCACCCTGCTGCTCTTGTCAGGACCTGTGCTTAATCCAGATCAGTGGTTCTCAAAGTGTGGTCCCTGGGCCAGAAGTGGTAGCATCACATGGGAACTTGTTAGAAATGCAAATTCTTAAGCCCCACTTCAGACCCACTGAATCAAAAATGGGGGTGAGCTCCACAATGTTTCAACCACACTCCCCTCCCCCGTAGTCAGTTGTTAGGTCCTGCAGATTCTCCCTCCCTGTGAACCCCCGTGTCTTCTCCTTCTGTGCCCATTGCCATAGCCTGGATTGGGATCACTATTCTCACCCAGATGGTAACTGGGATTGCCTAACTGGTTTCTAACCTTTTGTTCTTGCTCCACTCAAAGCCATCTTGGATTCAGATAGTTTAGCCATGTTTTTACCCTAGTGTTAGGCATAGAGTTGGTTGTCAACACACATTTGAACTATGAATGAATAATGACTGAATGAATTGCCACCAGAGGGATTTGTCTAAAAAGCAGATCTGATCTTGTCATTGTGTTGTTTAAAGTTCTTCAGGAGCTCCTGATTATTCTCTGATTTCCCTTCCTCCTGCTCTGTCCTCCTGCCAAGCCCTCATGATTTGGCCCTTGCCTGCTTCCCTAGCTTTATCTTCTGCTGCCCCTCCAAGCCGTGACTGTGTTCTTTGCTCTCTCCTGATACCTGTGTGATGCTCATGTGATCTATTCACTTAGTTTTGCTTTCTTTGATTTTTAATTCAAATTAATATGAATGTGCCGTACACATAAATATGGCAGAGTGGGCAGCTTCCGGCCATTTACAAACACCTCGTACAGGAATGCCTTTCCCCCTATCTCATCTGGATAAACTGCCCTATCATAAAACTCAATTCAGGCTTTGCCTTCTGGAGAACATTGAGAACATTTCCTAACCTTCCACTGTGATTTAAATATCCTTCTCATGGGCTTTGTTTTACATGGCGCAATATAAACATGACATACCGTCCTCTGATTGTTGAGTCACTTGCCTTTCTGCTGCCTAGGTCGTCATCCTCTTGTTTTTATCTCATTACAGCCTGTACTCTGTCTGCATCTAGCAGATGGTAGTAAACATTCATCTGTTAGAGGAAGTGTGTGCCGGGACCTGAACATTGAGGGGGTGAGGGTTCCAGGGATGCAGTCCCTGCCCTTGAGGCACTTGTGGGGAGAAAGAAGATAAGTCTTACGTTGTCATACATCCCATGATCTAAGTATTACCATGGAATATGGGGAAGTACATTTGTTATTGGAAGAGGTTATGCCTAAACTGACATGTTAAAGGATAATGGTGATAAGGAGGGCAGCCAGCATTTGTTGAGCCCTTACTCAATGCCAGATGTTCTACTTAATAGCGTAAGTGCATTCAGCAGTCTTATTTGGGAGGTACTGTTAATTCTTTCAACAAAAGAATATTACATAGTGACACATTTACTGAGCGACTCCCCTGTGCCAGGCACTGTTGAGGGTACAGGAATGCAATAGGGAGCAATGCAAAGAAAGTCCCCGTCATCATGCAGTTTATAGTCTGGTATGGATTGGAAACTGGAAGCCAGGCAGTCTGTCCTCACAGCCTGGTCTCTTAACTACCCTTTGTCCACCTGGACACCTAGTAGGAAGACAGTTCATTCAAGTTTCAAGCTTTCCCCTCTTTCAGTATTACATACCAGTCAGCAAAAGTGACTAGAACTGCAGTACTTCTTTATGACGCATTTTCTTTGCCAAGATTAGAGTTAATTCTGCCTTGGTTACATTTTAAATTTTTGCTTTCATTTTTGATATCTATCCTAAGCTTCTTGTTTAGATTTAAAAAGAACCTTAATCTTACCATTAGTACACTTATCTTACCTGCAGTGTGTTTTATGGATTAATACATGGGCTACATTTTGGGAAAAATTTCATCATGGCTAATATAATTCTTTAATGTTGACTTTTGTTAGATTCCATTTTAGAATGACATTTGTTTACTTTTTCCCCAGATTCTGGGTTAAGCCTTACTTATACCTCACTGTCCCTTGGTTACAGGGAAGTCAAAATAAGGAGCCAGATATTTTCTGCCAAGCTATCAATTTTTTAAGGGATTTTATAAAATTGTTCTGATTTACATGACCAGTAGCTGGCTTACATTCTATAAGCTAGCCACGTTACTGATAAAAACTAGGAAAGAGTCAGAAGCTTTCCTTAACAGTGAATTATTCCATTGTAGGAAGTAATGCCTTGGGACCCCCCCTACTACAGTGGTGTGATTCGTGCAGAAAGGTAAGTTTTTCAAGAAATACCCATACAGGAAGAGGATGAAGGAAACTAATGTTTATTCAGCACTTGGCACATTAATTCTGCAGCTGTTGTCATCCAGAGCCGCCCACAGTGCCAACCCTTCCCCGATACCATTCCTTCTGCTGGCCTGGTCTGCTCCACTCATGAACTCTTGGGTGCTGGTATCATTTCCTGGTTTAAAACTCTAGAACCTGGTCCCTCTTCAGCCCTGCCCTTGCGTAGCTTTCAGGTTCTCTTCCTAGGCTGTGAGCATTGCTGGAGTCCTTGTTGTGTCCTGTTGCTGGCCCAGAGTAGGGGCTCAGCATGTATTTACTGAACCAGTGGAAGAATAAAGTGGTACTTGGCATGGTGCTACATGATTTTCTTATGTTTTCTCATTTTTATTTGGACACATATATTGTCAAGATATTATTAGTCCGTCTGGAAGGATATAAATGAAATAAGGATGTAAGGAACTTAAGTTGACTGAAGTTCCTCTGGCTTCTATATCCTCCTGTGTTTATTTTATTGGAGAAAAATATTTATGTCCTTCTCTCCCTACATACACACTAGTTCTGTAATTTTTATATTTATTTGTAAACTCAAGAAATAGAGCTCCTTTTGCAGTGAACACATTTAAAAGTGTTTATAGCTCAGGCAACTTTATATACGCAATAGGAATTAAAAAAAAATCTCAGAAACCAACCCTTTAATAACTTGTTAACATTTTTCTCTTGTAGTTAATTTTTGAGATACGCTGTTTAAGTAGGAGAGTTAAGGTTGTTTTAGGTAATAGCAGAAAAATGTGAGTTTTCTGTTTTTTTCCTCATTAAAGCATACTGGCATGTACTGTGATAATATGGATATTTATTTGGTATTAAGCTTTAAAATATTTTTATTACTATGCATTATTGAAGCATCAAGTAAACCATTGTAGGTACTTCTCCAAAATAAGATGTATTTACTTAATTATTTCTTTCGGCTTTTGTCATAAAAACAGAAAACAATAACTTTCTATGTCCTTGTCTATACCAGCAGGATGAGGTGACCTAAGATCAATTAGTGTATTAAAGCACTCACTCGCTTAATTTTCATTTATTTTCCTCTCTCTGGGCGCCATCCATCACTGTTGCCAAAACCATTTTTACTTAGAAGACGCAATTGTCTTCTATCCTTTAGGAATTTGCTCAGATACTATTTTTTATTAAAAAACTTTTTTTAAAGACAGGGTCTCACTTTGTTGCTCAGGCCAAAGTACAGTGACGCCGTCATGGCTCACTGTAGTCTCAAGCTCTTAGGCTCCTGTGGGCCTCCTGCCTCAGCCTCCCGAGTAGCTGGGACTGCAGGTGCATACCAACACACCCAGCTGATTTAAAAATTTTTTTTGTAGAGATATAGGTTCTTGCTGTGTTGCCCAGTTTGGTTAGCTACTATTTTTTAAACATGTATCTCAAATTCAGCATCAGTCTTCTTTTTAATGAAAACATAGAAACTGTTATTCAAAATCTATAATAATTTGGTTATGATAAACAATGAGAATTTAGAATATATTATAGTTTAATGTAAGATATTGTTTCACAAAAGTGTTTTCTGGTTGCAGAATTTGAAACCCTGCTCCCTATAGTTGCATTAAAAAATATAATTTCTCTTTTAAAATTCTGTCAAAGAAAGATTTGGCTTGATTGTTTGGCCTGTTAAAGATGTAGCATAAATCAGTAGTAAAATTTGTTAGTACTTTCCATGTTTATGTAAAGCATTTGATTTTTGACATTGGATAGTAATGTAAATTGAATATATTTGTTTCTGATTTTTGCTACTCTCATATTTATTTGGCATTCCTTCCATATCATGTCCCCTGTAACTGATTATTTTAAATAATACTTTGACCTTAAATTTAAGTGATGGTTTTGTCATCTGCACTCTGTAAACATAGCATGCCCAAATGGTGGTTCCAAGGACTTCTTTTCTGGTCACAACCTGCTGACTACAACAGGATCTGGTCCAGACAGGATGAAGTAAAGAAACCAGCCTAGACCAGCAGAGGGCAAGGAAAGGGATCCCTGGCTGCCCTCACTGCTCAAAGACACTCCCACCCGCACCTTGACAGTTTACAAGTGCCATGGCCAGTGACCAGGAAGTTACCACCCACTTCCTAGAAAGTTCGGAATAACTTACCCTTAGTTTGCATTAACGCGCCCCTTAATTTGCATGTAAATAAGAGTGGTATAAATACAGCAGCCAGCAGCCCACAAGCATGGCTCTGGGTGCACTGAGGATCTGATTACAACCCACTTTTGTTTTACAGAAAGGAGCATCTCTACTCACATTTATTTGTTCTGATTTTTCTTCCACCCCTGCTCTTCCTCCACGGTTTATCCCAGCCAAATTTCTCTCTGTCTCCCCAGAACCTCTGTCTGGGGAGCCGTGGGTTCCCATTGCCTCCTTTGTCTGTCTTACACACCTGTGACATCTTGCCGGGGGTCCATGAAGCCGCTGAGTCTGCAGTAGCATCCTGTAGCTCCTGGCTCCGCTGCGCTAACAGCCTGTGCTACACAATTGACCTGCTAACATGTTCTTCTGGACATGCTATGATCTCATATGTGTTAAATGCGTCTTGTCAACCATATTTTAAAGCTCTGTAAGAACAAACATTCTGGACCCTCAGTAAATACATATTAATTCATAGCCCTTATTCAAGCTTGTATCTAGACCAGTAATCATGAAAAGCAATCCAGTGATAAGTTTTTTTAGAGAGAAAATGTCATGTTTTTGCCTGACGTGTTTGCAGTACTCACTGGCTGATGGAGTCTTCCACCTGTTCGCTGAGTCACTGAAATCACCAGGTTTATTGGGAACACAGTGTAAACTGCCAGATATCCACATGAGGCTTTAGCTTATCTTAAAGCTTTAATACTAATTTATTTATTTGGCTAATAACCCAGTAAAGAACCGGGAAAAGGGTGCAGAAATGCATCAGAAGGGTTTGTAAGAATCAGGTTTTAAAAATCGATTTTAAGTAGCTTAACAGGGAAATGACTGAGTTTTGGTTCAAGGCTTCAATAATCTGGATTGACAAGAGTAGGCTGAGAAGCACGGGTAATGGATGAGAAAAGAAAGGAAAAACATCATAGGTTGGGTTTGAGGGTAGAAGAGCGAAACAATGTGAAGATCTCTAAATCCTTGTTAAATTCATCGCTTTTCAAGTAAAGACTTAAATACGTGGCTTGACACAAAATGAAAAATAGAAGGGGCTTTCCTTGATTTGAGCTTTTTTTTCAGGTTAACCTCAGGGAGTCTTTTGCTTTTATGTTAAATACTTCAGATTTATTTCAAGTTTTTAATGTTCATCTAAAAAAAAAGTAAGAACCTGTTTAGAAGTAGGAGGAGAAAGTAACATGTTTTAAAAGTGCCACAGGTTGATCCTGGAAAATACCATAGTGGTATAAATGACAGCAAGTCTTAAAAAGCAGCTCATTTTTTCGTTTTTAAAGCTTTAGTATAAGATTCTTCATAAAAGAGTGACATTACTGCTTTCATATATGAAAAGTGTATATGAAATTATTTTATTTGAAATTAAATTTTATTTTTGATTAGGCAGTACATTCACGTGGCTCAAAAAATTAATAATGTTAAAAGTATTAATTGAGAACACTCATCTCTGCCTCTGCCCCAGAAGTCATCACTTTTAAGTTGTTTAATGTATCCTTCCAGTGTTTGGGTTTTGTTTTTAATGCTTTGGGGATTAAAACACTGTTTCTTTTCTGTAAGTAATGAATTTCAGTATTTCATTTATTTTGGTGCTATTTTTGTTTGTCTGTTTTTTGTTTTTGAGACAGAATCTTGCTCTGTCACCCAGGCTGGAATGCAGTGGCGCAATCTCGGGTCACAGCAACCTCTGCCTCCTGGGTTCAAGTGATTCTCCTGCCCCAGCCTCCCAAGCAGCTGGGATTACAGGCATGCACCACCACACCCAACCAATTTTTGTATTTTTAGTAGGGACAGGGTTTCACCATTTTGGCCAGGCTGATCTCAAACTCCTTGTCTCAAGTGATCTGCCTGCCTCAGCCTCCCAAAGTGCTGGGATTACGGGCATGAGCCACCATACCCTGCCAATTTTGGTGCTATTTTTAAATTAAGATATCACTGGGAAATGGAAGTCAGTGTTGTCTGTTTCTTGCTAAGATATAATCTTCTTTTTTTTTTTTTTTTGAGACGGAGTTTCGCTCTTGTTACCCAGGCTGGAGTGCAATAATGCCCCGATCTCGGCTCACCGCAACCTCTGCCTCCTGGGTTCAGGCAATTCTCCTGCCTCAGCCTCCTGAGTAACTGGGATTACAGGCACGTGCCACCATGCCCAGCTAATTTTTTGTATTTTTAGTAGAGACGGGGTTTCACCGTGTTGACCAGGATGGTCTCGATCTCTTGACCTCGTGATCCACCCGCCTTGGCCTCCCAAAGTGCTGGGATTATAGGCTTGAGCCACCGCGCCTGGCCAAGATATAATCTTAAAACTTCAAGAACATTCACTTGAAATAAAGATGTTTTGTGATTTAAACTATTCAAAAAATAGGCTTTCACAAAAGGACTTCTTTTTGATGTGGGAAATTATATGCTTTGTTAGTATAGGATTAGTGATCTTGGTGCTTTTACATTTTTAAAAATTAATCTTTATTATGAAAACTTTCAAAATAAACAGAAATACATAGGTAATAGATGGTTCAGTCCAAAGAAAAAAGAACAATGAAAACAATTGTTTAAGAAAAAAACACATGCCTATGCTCTCTGGTATAGCCTGTCACTCCGCGGCTACAAACCTGCCCAGCATGTTACCATCCTGAATCTGTAGGCAGTTGTAACACAATGATAAGTATATGTGCATCTAAACATGTCTAAGCATAGAAAAGGTACAGTGAAAATAAGGCATAAAAGCTAAGAAATGGTACACCTGTATAGGGCTCTTACCACGAATGGAGTGAGTCTGTAGGACAAATGGCCTGGGTGAA